GCTCTGTTTGACGTGCTGACCTGGCTGGGTTACTGTAACAGCACCATGAACCCCATCATCTACCCCCTCTTCATCCGGGACTTCAAGCGCGCCCTGGGCCGCTACCTGCCCTGCTGCCCGCCCTCCTGGACCCGCCGGCCCAGCCCCCTGTCCGTCTCCGTCCGCAACTCCCCCAGTGGCTACCGGGGCGACCCCCCGCTGCCCTCCCCCTCCCCCTCCCCCTCGCCTGCCTCCCTCACCTCTGACCCCACCGACCCCTCTGACCCCACCCACCACCCGCCCTGCAAGAGGGAGCCGCCGGCGACCGCCACCGACGCCGTCAACCTGTTCGACATGGAGCATGCTGGGAATGACAGCCTGCTGCCCTGCCAGGTCGGCCCCCTGAACGACTGAGCAGGCAGGAAGCGTGCGGACAGGAGAGAGGAGATGGGACGAGTGCGGGGAGGAGGAAACGCAGAGAGGGGAAGAGATGTCTGACTGCTCCCCGTGTCCGGACTCAGGCATCAGGCAGACCATCACCCCTTCAGGCACTGAATTTATTTACAGAACTTCTGCTCTGGGACAGAACATTTGTAATTCCATGCAGTTTTGGATTAAACGACATCAATTCACAGCCCAGTCTTGTCTGCCTCGTGCCTCCGGTCTGTCTGTGTGCCACACGTGTCCTGCGGTCGGGCTTGACCGCTACCATAGCGTCCAGGGCGAGGTGGACAGCTGCCCGCTGGCCAGGGCACGGCCGGGGTGTCCCGTCTGGTCCCTGAGGGGTCAGCTGGAGCTGGGACCATGCCGCCTGTCTCTGTCCCGGCGCCCGGCCTGCTTAAACAAGGCCGTCACGAGAGGGGGCGGCAACACGGACACTCACGTTTCAGAACTGTGGGGGCGCTGCCGAAGAGGTAGGACCGCAGTATGTCGTGTTGTGCAGCACTCCCCACCCCCTCACCCCTCTGAGGGCACACCTCCCAGGAGCTGTGCTCAGGGCAGGGCTGAGCGCAGGGGGGTCAGGAGGCCACCGTGACACCCCTCTTCCCGTCATCCCCAGCTGGAGGGCACTGCTGCTCCCCGAGATCTTGTGTGGCATCGCCCCAAGTGGCCAGGACTGTTTGGTGGTCAGAGGGTAACCCCTGGGGTAACTGTGTGTAGCACTACAAACATCGGCCAAGCGCCCACACCTGGCTAGCAGTGCAGCTAGGAATTCTGTGTGATATTCAGAAGGTCAGTACTGTCCAGCATGTTCAAGCCCCCCCCTCCTGCCGCCATTCCCCTCAGTCTGTGGGGACGTGGTGGTTGTGACACCATCCTCCTCCTTTCTTTCTGCCTCACTGACAGAGGGCTCTTCCTGACCAGGTCCACCTCCTCCACCTAATCTGCATACAGACTCCACCCCCGCTCCACACACCACGCCCCCTGCTTCATCTCCAGGCTCTGTTCCTCCTTCATTAGCTCCACCCCCCAGAGCTGACTGGTCTGACTCGGGCTCCGGCTTCGGTTCTCTCTCCGTGGCAACAGACTCCTGGGGCATTGAAAGGACGTCGCCGAGACACGCCCCCTCCCTGGTTGGCACGCCCACCGCCACCAGGATGGTTTCAATCTGCCGCATGTAGTCCAGGTGACCTTTGACCTGAAGGATCATGAAAACAAGTTCTGAGCTTTGCTTCCTCAGGCTGTGCTTCTCGATTTTGGGTTTAAAGACATTTTTTTGATGTGCGGCGCATGTGTACAGTGATGCTGTGAATCATGTTTTCTCTGTAATCTCACCACAGATGACAAGTCCACATTCATCATGCGTCGGTCGTCCAGGTTGATGGGCTGGAGCCCAGCGACGGACAGCTGTGCCGACGAACTGCGATACACGAAGCTCAGGAGCCAGTCCCCCCTGAGACAAGACACACGGTCAGCACAAGACACCACATCCACGTCCGAATTCCAGCTCGCGTCGCGGTCCCTCCCCACACCTGCAGTAACCGTTGATGATCCTCCCAGACACAACCCTAGACAAGGCCTTCCACTGCCGCGCAGAGCCGTCCACCGGCGCCCCCAACAGGACAACGTCCTCAATCACGCCCTCGCAATCTGAGAGGCGCATGGATGAAACAGGAAATCAGCAATGAGCAGCCGTAGACCAGGCTGTCCAATAGTCTATCTGCTGCAGGTGTCTTTACCTCTGTCAGGTACGTTCCACTCACCTGTGTCGTTGGCCAGCTCCTGCAGGCAGAAGTAGATGACTCTGGCCCCCAGACTGAAGCCAATCAGGCTGACAGGACGCCTTCCCTGCTCACAGCCGGGCAAGACAAAGGGCACAGTTACAACCCACCAGTCTGAGGACCAAGTGTGAGTCAGTGTCGGGCATTGTGAGACACAGTGAGTCGGTGTGAGACGGAGTGTGACAGTGTGAGAGAGTGTGAGCTAGTGCGAGACCGTGCGAGACCGTGCGAGACCGTGCAAGGCCGTGCCTACCTGCTGCCGGCTCCTCAGAACCTGTGCCAGCTGCTTTCCTACCTCGGCAGAGCGACTCAGACACACCCCCCAGGGGTTGTCAATCACACTGGCCACAGCCAGCAGGGAGGCGGGCCAGGTCAGTGCGGTCAGGATCCCTAGACAAGCAGGACAGCCGGACAGTAACTCATCACAGACACACGAGACAAACACTGACCGGTCCCGAGGCAACAGAACCCAGCGAAGGGGTTCATCAGCCAGGAAGAAGGAAGAGACGCAGTGGAGAGACAGCGCCCCCTACCTGACAGCACGGTGTATTTGAGGGCCTCCTGGGCCACCATGCTGACCAGCCCGTCCAGCAGCGAGTCCAGCGCTGAGCCCAGCTCCAGCAGGTAGCGCGACTCCCAGCACAGGCAGTACTGCTCTCTGGACTGCCTCAGACTGGCCCACGGGGCCTGGAAGGAGCCTGTGATGAAGGGGTGTGGGGGCAGGACAGAGAGACAGAGGCTCAGCAAGCAGCTCCCTGCTGCGGACTCATGCGCCATTCATGAGGGCTCTGGGCTTCTCTCCAGAAAGCTGTGCATTCAAACAGCAACGACAACCACTCACTGCGTCTACGCTGCACTTACAGAAAGGAGATCCACTTCACCCCACTGAGGTGCAGGTCAGGGGAGGAGAAGGGAACGTCAGGGAAACCCAGACTGCAGGATTCAGCCAGGACTCTGGGGTTTAACGACCCTACTCTTACGAACAGCCAGTGGGTCTTGAATGACCGAGGAACAGGCCTGTATTCAGCATGTCACTTTGCTGCAGCTCAGAGAGTCTCTATCTTCCTGTCTGCAGGGATGAAGCCACACTGAATGGATGTACACAACACAAACACATGCACACACACACACAATCACATCCCTGCTCACCTGATTCCAGAATTCCCAGACAAGGTCACCGGCCAACCGGACACGAAAATCACACAGTCAGCACACAGTCACATGAGCAGTGCGCAGCACACACACCTCATCATAGTGTGTGTGTGTTACTGGCCAGTGCCAGCCTGCAGTGTTCTCTGCCCAGAATGTCAGTGTGTCGGGGTGAAAGTGTTTGTGGGTGCCAGTGTCTCGGGGTGCCAGGCCCTCACTGTATTTTCCTCGGCACAGCCAGCCTGTCACAGCGATGGTGAGGTGAAGGTGCTTCCCAGTGCTCAGCGGCCGGAACTCAAACTCCTCGATGGCTCCGACGCGCTTGTTCATCTTGTACCCTGAGGCGGGGCAGTAACCCAGGGAGACAGACCGTCACAGACACGGGGTCAAGAGGTCAAGGGGTCAAGGGGTCAAGGGGACAGGGCAGGAGAGAGAGGGAGAGGAGTTACCGCACAACCAGAGACCCTGAGGTGTGGCTCTCCAGCACAGGGACTGGCCGACAGCTGTGCCTCTCAGTCTCTAACCGCGGCAGTCGGTCGGCTCACCAGTCAGTCCGGCCCCGGCTGCGCCGAACAGGGAGGCCATGATGGCAATTCCAGCCACAGAGCCGAGAGCCGCCGCCCCTCCTGCGCCGATCACCGCACCGGCGCCCGCGGCCACCAGAGGGGCCGCCAGCCCGCCGGTCAGGCCTGCACACAGGGAGAGAGACACGTCTGTCGCACGTCCTGGGCAACAGGTCTGACCGCACCCGTGCACTCAGAGGCAGCGCAAGCCGAACTGACCAATCACGGTGCCCCCGCCCACAGTGGCCAGGCCAATCAGGAGGTAGCGCTTCAGCTTCCTGCCCCTCTCCTTCCTGCGCCGTCGGGACTCCTCCTCCCTGGGGGCGGAGAGTTAGAGCAGTCAGAGCCTGCAGAGCCACAGAGCCCGCGGAGGCACCACAATCACAGACACACAGAGCTGTACTCACTGCTGCAGCCAGTCCTGAGAGCAGCAGGAGAAACACAGAGACACGAGTCACAGGCTGTTACACTGTGGTGCACTGTTACACACACACACAC